CTAATTTCAATCCTCTCCACTATTGAAGGTTTCTTTTTATCATCAGGAAAAAAAGGTTAATCTTTCTGTGTTAATTTAATTTGGTCTCAGAGTAAGTTAGCATGTGTACTTTGGCCTAAAATGGAACTTTAAATTTTAATACTATTTTGCAATTAGATGCATTATGTACAAAAATACCCAAAATGGTCTGAGATTCCTCAAATTTGTTCAGTTTGGACTCATAGTTCAGTGTCGGACAATTTACATGTAATGCTCTTGTTTTCCCTATTTTAAAACCAAATGGGAAATATTGCCTTGCAAAAATGTGTCTAAGGATATTGCCTTACATTAAGAAAAACTGCCATCTGAGTTCAAAAGTTTTCTAAGAGTTAATTCATAATGTGATTAAAAAATCAATAAGGAGATAAGGAAATATAAAGGAAGAGAAATATTAGTGAGGAAAGTCTTAGAAAAGGGAATTAGAGGAAGCAAAAATGGTTTCCTTTGGATGAGAAAGGATTTAGGAAGTAAGAATTGTCTTAGGGGGCTGGGAAGGTGGCTCAGTGGTAGAGTCCTTGCCTTGCATGCCTGAGGCCCTGGGTTTGATTCCTCAGCACCACATAAGAAAAAAAAAAAAAAAAAAAGCAGGAAGTGGCGCTGTGGCTTAAGTGGTAGAGCGCTAGCCTTGAGCTGAAGAGCTGAGGGGCAGCGCCCAGACCCAGAGTTCAGGCCCATGACTGGACCCCTCCACCAAAAAAAAAAAAAAAAGAAAAGAGAATTGTCTTAAATGTTTGTTGCAAAATGGAAAAAGGTAGAAATAAAAAAAAACCCAAAAAGTTCCAGTAGGTAGCAGATGGTATGAGTATGTCTTGAATTTTTTTTTTTTGTCAGTCCTGGGGCTTGGGTGCTGTCCCTGCACTTTTCAGCTCAAGGCTCTACCACTGGGCCACAGTGCCACTTCCAGTATTCTAGTGGTTTATTGGAGATAAGAGTCTCACAGACTTTCCTGCCTGGGCTGGATTCGAACTGTGATCCTCAGATCTCAGCCTCCTGAGTAGCTAGGATTACAAGTGTGAGCCACCAGCGCCCAGCTGTCTTAAATTTTTATAAGATAAAGCTTATTATGAAATATTAGTAAAATTGGCATGTAATGAACTGTGATTTAAATAAGGTCAAGATTAATACATTGATGTAAAATCAGCATCTTATTCTTTATGTCCATCTCTGAAAGTAATTGTGCATAATTAAATTAGTCAAGTTTTTAATATGTGTTTTCCAGGTATGTAAGTCACCTTGAATACAGAGCTGACAATGGTTTCAATCTTAAGTTGTATCCCAAAGTGCTATGTTCAGTTAATCAGTTGCTGTTTGAAAACTCATTATATCTACTGCGTTTGGTCATTTATAGAGTGCAGATTTCACCTGCAGTATTTAGCCTGACCCACAGGAAAATATTTGGCAAATATTTGTTGGTCAATTCTTGACAAGGTGCAGGTAAGTTCTATTTATTATTTCTATTGGTCTCCTTGTTGCTTTAACTGGAAATCAAAAGAGGTTTTGTGACAAAGACTCATTTAATCTGAGGATTGCAGTTCAAGGCCAGCCCAGACAGAAAACTCCCTCTGAGACTCCATCTCTCAACTAACTAGCAAAGAGCCAGGCTGGAAGCATGGTTCAAGAGACTCTTATCTCTAACTAAGCAGCCAAATGCTGGAAGTGGTGCTGTGGCTCAAAGTGGTAGAGTGCTAGCCTTGTGCAGAAACGCTCTGGGACAGTGCCCAGGCCTTGAGTTTCAACCCCATGACTGACAAAAGAGGTGGGAACTGGGATGTCATCCCATAAATGAGCACCTAGACCCCCAAGACCAGGCCAGTTATGACAGCAAAGAATCATGGAGAGGAGTAAGACGAGATGATGACTCCTCCAGTTACTTATGCCTGCCCTTTCAAAATTAACCAGAGCCAGGAGATCAAGAAAAATAGTTAATAATCATGCCTATCTAATGTCCATAGCTGTCTATTTTTTTTTTTTTTGTTGGTCATGGGGCTTGAACTCTGGGCCTGGGTGCTGTCCCTCAGCTCAAGGCCAGCGCTCTACCACTTTGAGCTACAGCGCCACTTCCGGTTTTCTGGTGGTTTATTGGAGATAGGAGTCTCACAGTCTCTCCTGCCCGGGCTGGCTTTGAACCGCGATCCTCAGATCTCAGCCTCCTGAGTAGCTAGGATTACAGGCATGAGCCACCAGCGCCCGGCCATAGCTGTCTATTTTGTAACTGGACAGGAGTTTACATTTTTGCTTTTGTTACCTATTTGTATTTTTAGTAAGTCTTAGATTCAGGACAGTTACCCTGGGCAGCCTCTTTGGTGCCATCCATCTGTATATTCCAGACATCTACCAAGGCCTCCTGTAGAGCCCCCAACTAGCCAAGTTATCCACTCTGCTATACAGAGGGGTTACAGTAACGTGAATAAGGTAATGAGTACATTTCTTGTTGAGCATTGTTAACCCCTCCTCCAATTTTTAATTTTCTACCCTAAACCCTTCCTTTTACCACTTGTGTGCTCTCTAGTATTTTTTCTTATTGCTCAGCCCCTGCCTTGTAAGATTTTGTTCACATTTCATCTGAAGACCCACATGGGTGTTCACCAAGGAACAGTCATTGCTGCTTTCTCCCCAACCAGATCAGACATCTCAGCCTTCTACCCAGCTAGCAGTAAATAGCCATAGAGAGTCTTCATCCCTTTCATAATTATCAAAAAGGCCCGGAATGGTAGGTGTGTCCTAGTCTCTGTGAGAATCTGCACATTGATTCCCCCTTCCTGTTTTCCATGCAAGAAGTCTCTGCCCAGTACCTGTGTTATCTAGGTAACTGGCACACTTGGAGGTCATTACCTCTCCCTTCTCTGAGGTCACATCCTGGATCGCCTCATTGGGACTGAGGGAGGTTCCTAGGCTCTGGGGTCACATGAGCATCCAGTGTAGCCACACCCTCTCCCCTGCCTGGTTACACCTTCCCAACCTGGCCACATCTTCTTCCCACTCCCCTCCCCACCTTCTTTACTTAAACCCCAGCAGGGCGGCTGTTTGTCCCTTCTGCCACTGTGCCTCTCCAACCTGCACTCGGGGCGGGGTTAGGAATAAATTACTCTTTCTTGCCTGAAGACCATGTGGTAAACTTTTTCCAGTAACCTAATTAAAATCTAACAATATGTATTTCCATCATTTGTGGAATCAGGCTGAGCACTGGTGGCTGATGTTTATAATCCTACCTACTCAGGAGTTAGTTAGTGAACAGAAGTCCAACTTGATCAAAATGTTCACAAGACTCCCAACTTAATCAACAGCTGTATGCGATAGTGTGCTCCTGTCATCTCAGCTATAGTAGAAAGTATACTAGGAAGACTAGTCCAGGCTGGCCCAGGCAAATCTGAGATCTAATCCCAATAACAACTAGAGCAAACAAGAGCTGGAGGTGTGACTCAAGCATAGAGCATTTGTCTAGCAAGCACAAAGCCCTAAGTTCAAATCCCATTACTGCCAAAAATAAAAAGTAAAAGTAAAAAAAAAAAAGAATCAAAGGCACTTTTTTTTCTTTTTGTTGGATGTGGGGCTTGAACTCTAGGCCTGGATGCTGTCCCTCACCTCTTCAGCTCAAGGCAAGTGTTCTACTGCTTGAGCCACAGCACCACTTCTGGTTTTCTGGTGGTTTATTGGAGATAAGAGTCTTATGGACTTTGCTGCTGGGGCTGGCTTTGAACCTCGATCCTCAGATCTCAGCCTCCTGATTAGCTTGGATTATAGCTGTGTGCCACTGGCACCCAGCAAATGTGTTTTTTGTTGTTGTTGTTGGTTGTGGAGCTTGAACTTTGGGTCTGGGCTCTGTCCCTGACCTCTTCAGCTCAAGGCAAGTACACTAGCACTTGAGCCAAAGCATCAAAAGTACTTTATAAATAATAATTGTAATATATATATATATATATATATATATATATATGCATATATATTTCAGGTCCAAATGGAATTCTATCTGTAGATCTACATTCCAAGGCTCTGATTTACTCTCTATAAATAATATTTAAGTGAGGCCTTGTTTAAGATAATGAGCTTTGGTCATTTCCTTTGCAATGTTTCTCTGTTCACAAACAGCCCAAATGAAGGTAAATACTGAAAGAATCCTATACAGCCATGCCAGGGGACCACACGGAAGCAGGCAAGAACAGGAGGAAAGATTATTACAAGGTTTATTAGAGGAGCCATATTTGCCCTGGAGAGAGAGAGCACATGGTGACTTGAGCTATCTAGGTAGCACGGGGTCTCAGGGTAGGAAGTGAGGTAGAGGAGAGTTCCGGTGGGTCTGGGTGGAAAGAGGGAGGGGCCAACTGTATGGCGAGAACTCCAGGGCAGGGAGGAGTTCAGGCCTGCGTGGAGCTGAGGACCAAAGCTGAGCACAATGCTTCCAAGTACTACTTATAAATATATTTTGCTAAACAAACAACTCTTCCCACTTTTAATATCTCACCAAGTAATACACCTGGAGCCCTCAGGTTTAAACATATAGGTCGAGAACATTCACCTGTCACTCAATTCCAAACAGGATCACATTCTATAAATGGCTTTAAGATAAGCATACTATTAGGTTACTCAATTATCCACACATTCCAAGAGTTTCTCAGAGAATATTTCTTCTGCATCTTAACTGACTAAACAAATGTTCCAAAGTTGGGATACAGGGATCTTCTCATTGACCTGACATCTCTTTATTTTCAGAAATCATTCTATATTGTTTCAACCTTGCTTCCTGGGATCGAGGGGGTTCAGCTCAGGGTCAGTGCAGAGTCGAACTATGAGCCCTCATCTACACAGGTCCACTTCAATGTCAAAATTAATAAGAGCACTGGAACTCAAATGCTACTCCATCTGTGGGCTGTGTCCAGCCTAAGTATCTTGAGGAGTCACCTGGTCTGACAATGAATGATAACTCAGGAGCTGAGTAGGAGAAGCATGGTGTTTGGACTACTTACTTGAGTGTGGTGAGCTCTGTGAGGGACGGCTGAGTAGCCTTGAGATAACTTTCTCTTCGTGCAGCCACTTTAGGAGAAGGCTTGGGACTTGTGTCTGAGTCCCCACTGTCTTCATCCCCCATGGCCTTGATGTAGCTACCACTTCGCATCCTTCGGCATGGAATCTCGTCATCTTTCCCTCGAGGTGTGTATCCTGACCATTCATCTTGAGGAACCTGGGCAGAGAGAAAACAAGTCATTCCTTGTTTGTGAAATCCTACATCTCTCTCCTGGCCGTTTTTTGTTTTGTTTTGCTGTTTGTTTTGGGTGTAACTAATAGAGATCATTATCTAAAACTTTAGATGTTAACCTTTCATTGATAGGGCTTAACTGTAATGGGTTTGAAAATATACTGAAGACATGCAAATCCTTGACACAACACATTTCAAAAAAGCATCCTAGGCATTAAGGGACATGAGAATCATTGGCTCTGATTCATTTCCTACTTCTCCATTTTCTCACACTGGTAATAGCTGAGTCAGGCATAGATAGCCATGGGAGAAGAGAGCAGATTTCTTTGAGCTGTTCTCGATCATTATTTAAGATTCAGAATCTTTCTGATTTGTCTATACCTTTCCTGATCTTTTTTGTCTCTACTGTCTCAGAGCCAGCCTCTTTGTTTCTGAAGCCAGGGCTCTACTCGATACCAGATGCTTTTGCTGATTAATCCCCTATTCTTTCTGTATTCTCTTTAATATGTATTCAGCATCATAGATATGCTTAAAACATTCTGAAGATTTCTAATGATGTCTTCCTGAAAGGTGGTATAGTTTTGTTTATTTTGTGCCAGTCCTGGGGCTTGAACATAAGGTCTTGGAGTTGTCCCTGAGCTTGTGTGCTCAAGGCTAGCACTTGAGCAACAGCTCCACTTCTGGTTTTTGGGTGCTTAACTAGAGATGAGGGTTTCCTAGATTTTCCTGCCAGGGCCTGCTTTTGAACCACAGTCCTCAGATCTCAGCCTCTTGAGTAGCTAGGGTGTGAGCCACCAGTGCCTGGCTGGTTGTAGTTTTAAAATCTTCATGTTTTCTGACTCCTATATATGTGCACACACACATACACATGTGCACACACACACATATACACGTACAAGCATGCATCCCTTGCACACACTGACAGAAAACACACTTCTGAGAGCAACTCCCCTGTTCAAATTCTGATTGGTCTGCTGACCCAGTGTGGCTATTGATCCAAATCATTTTCCCCCCTCTGGGTCTGCTGGATCCTACTCTAAGTCCCTAATTATGGGGACAGCACAAGTAGGAGCTATCAGAGCATGGCGTTCCTTCTTTTCACAGTCATGTCTTTCAAGTTGAGCTGGCATTACATCATGCTTTTGAAAGTGCTGACATTCTCATCAATTATGACATTCTTATGATAGTCTCTTCAATTCCCTTTAGATTTTTCTCTCCAGCATGAATTCAACCTTACACCCATATGATCTCACTTTGCTTCTATTTGGTGAAAGGAATGCATAATGACCACCCTGTTCATCTGTCAAGAAGTAACAAGGGCCTTGTATAATGCTTGTAACCCGGCAGAGTTTAATTAAAAGAGAGAGAGAGAGAAGCCTGGTAAGAGGGGCAGGCAGTGACAAGGTTGATTCTTGCCCTTAACATGCCTGGAACAGAGATAAGAAGACAAAGGATGAATAAATTTGGGAATTCACATGCTGGCAAGTTGAAGAGATAGTGCCACAAATGAAATACGAATTAAAGGGAAACAGAAATAGGAGTTAGCAGTAAAGGCAATGGAGAGGAATATTCCAGAAGGGATCTTGGAGCTGGACAGAAGAGAAAATTATATTTACTATTCTGACACTAATTATTTATTGGGTATCTATTAAGTTCATACAATATTTCGTGTGTGTGTGTGTGTGTGTGTGTGTGTGTGTGTGTGTGTGTGTATTTGTGTCCTGGGTCATGAACTAAGGGCTTTTGTACTGTCCCTGAGTTTTTTTAAGCTCAAGACGAGCGTTCAACCACTTGAGCCACAGTTCCACTCCCAGAGGTTTTTCTTCTTCTTTTTAAGATACTAAGAGCCTCACAGATTTTCCTGATTGGCTGGCTGGCTGGCTTTGAACTACAATCCTCTGATCTCAGCCTCTTGAATAGCCAGGATTACAGGGGTGAGTCACTGGTGCTGCCTAGTGTTTTATTCTTAGCAATTAAGTATGGTAAGAAATTTACTTATGGGGAATTATTTAATCAATACAGCAAACATGAGCTTTTTTTGGCATCAATCAGAGAGCTGAAGTAATTTGCTGATCTATATAGTGTATGAATCTGACATGTAAAGAAGAAAATTGTCCACAATGATTCAGATCACATTAGGCAGAAAGTTCTAAATTGCATGAAGTGAGAATAGATGTTCCTCTATAAAAATCATTCTCCTTTCCCCCTTAAATTTCTATGTAATTTGCAGGTTTATACTTAGAAGCATCAGAGATGTTACTATCCATGGACTTCAAAGCAGCAGTTTGTTGGTTCTTATTTTGAAAGGTACTTGACAGAACTACATTATGCACAGGTCTATTTAACTTAACAAATTCTCACATTGTGTTTCTTGTGTGCATGCACTGTTAGAAATGCTTTATAAACACTAACTTGTTGGATCCAAACAACTAACGGGTAGAATACCACCCTTTATAATAATAATTATATATAATGTAATAATAATTGTTATGGTTACCATCATTTTCAAATGAGCAGACTCAGGTTATTGAACTCACCCTAAGTGACAGGCCTGAGGATCAGAGTTTCAATGAGGCAGATCCTGTGCCTTGCCCTGACCATGATTATCAATAACCTACTTCCCGGTGTGTCTTTCTCTCTCTCTGTTTCTGTCTCTCTGATAATAAAGTTTGGATTCAGAGAATCCTACTTACATAGCAAGTGCTTTACCACTTGAACCACACTCTCAGTCCTTTTGCTTTTAGTTCCTTTTCTGTTTTAAGAAAGGGTCTCTCACATTTTCCAAGGCTCTCCTCAAACCATGATCCTTCTATCTCTGCCTCCTAAGTGACAGGATTGCAGGAGTACACATCACACCTTGTTTGAGAGCCTTTTGTTCTAAGCTATGCTTTGTGAAACCTGAAGAATTGAACAAATATAGTCCTTGACATCTCCATAATACATCACATTAAATACATTTCTAATTTATTAATTGTAGGGTTTTCAAAAATCTATGTATTTATTTTTTTTTAGTTCACAAGCATCAAAATCGCCATAGCAACAGGACTTCTTAGGAAACTATAAATGTTAATGACAGTTCAGTTTTCCTTTGGTTGGTAAGTGACTCACTGCATAGATATGATTATGTTTAGAACCTCATTATTGGCTTAGCAATTAGATGGTAACAATTAACTTGGTACAGGTAGGGTCTTGGATGATGCATCCAACACTTGCCCTTTCTCAGTACTGAAGTTTATAATATTACTCAGGGAATATGTCAGAGACTAATGACGAACTGATTAGCTAATATTACTTACAGGGAAAATGTAGCAAATTTCTGTTTAGGTGCTTTTCAAGGGTGGCTTTTGGCAGGAACTTGAGCTTTTACTAGAAATGTCTATAGCTGTTGCTAAGGGAACCAGCAGAGAAGTATTTAATCTGTATTCCTTTCAATGAAGCATCCTTTTCAAGAGATAGCAGCTAAGACTCCACGCTGACGTGCCTTCCATTGGTGTGGAATATAAGTATCAACATATTACTCAACTATCTAAAGGCAACATTCAATAAGCTTACAGGGAAATCAGTTCTGGGAAAAAGTGCAAGGGTACAGACAATCAAGAACTTGGAGAAGTGAAACATTGGTGCTGCATTAGAGAGGCCAGAAAAATTGCTAGATTTGAGACAGTTTCTTTTTTTTAATATCTTAAAGTTTAAAGCCAAGGTTAGACAATGCTGAAGTGCAAGTTCTTAAAGCAAGCATACCATTTGTAAGGGGCCCAAAGAGTTCAATACTATGCCCTTTAGATCATGATGCTATGGCCACCTAGTCAAAGGTTACAGTGTCTTTCCACTTCAGTTTCACCAAGGGAAATGAGTTAGGCAAATCTAAAGAAAAGGTAAACTTGCAGCTTCCTGAGAAAGACTTCATTGCTATTGGTGATGGTGGCTTAAGAAATTGAAGTCTGGTAAGAAAGGAAGCCAGAATAGAAAGAAAAGAGCACAGGTGTTTGTAACACAAGGCTCATGGGATGCAGGTCTGAGCCATTTTAGGAGGTGGCTAACCCAGTCACATTAAAGAAATAGTAACAAACCAGGTGCAGAGGTGCACGCTTATAATCCTAGCTAGTTGGGAGGTAGGGCAATAGCGAGTTTGAAGCTTACCCCAGGCAAAATTAGTAGACACCTTACCTCAAAAAAAAAAAACAAATAAAAACAAAAGGAGTAGGGTGTGGCTCAAAAGCTAGAGTTCTACCCTGAGTTTTATCTGGAGTACAGAAAAAAAAGAGCCATCTGTGATATCTTAAGTTTTACAGTAGAAGTATTCATGTACTGCTTTGTTGAATGGTTGAATGGCAACTCCTTTGTACAACGACTTAAAGATAAAATTAAAAAAAACATAAAAAGATGATTTATTTTGTAATACTTATGTCTCAATACTAACAGTCCAACAAACAGCTTTAAAAAATATTTATTTTTGGTGGTAGTGAGGTTTGAACTCAGGGCCTCACACTTGGTTTCTATCTCTTGCGCTATCCCTCAGTCCTTTTTACTTTAGTTTGTTTTCAGATAGGGTCTTAGGAAAATGGATCTTCCTGTTTCTGCCTCCCAAGTAGTTGGAATTATAGCTACAAATCCTGCCTCAGGAGCTCTATTTTTGATAAAATGAAGAACAGTAGGCATTATTTATTCTAGTCAGTCTCAACCTAAGTCGCAAGGTGTCATTTGGAAGACCAAAAAAACATACCTGTGACCAAAGACCTACAGTCACCCTTTAAATACCTGCAGCCTGCCTGCTTGCTTGCTTGCCTGCCTGTCTGCCTACCTGCTTTCCTCCCTCCCTCTTTTCCTTCCTTCTTTTATTTTTTTCCTCTTTCTCTCTTTCTTTCTATCTCTTTTGTGTGCTAGGGCGGGTGTTTGAACTCAGGGCTCTGTTTCTTAGCTCTTTCTTGGTGCCAGTCCTGGGGATTGAACTCGGGGCCTGGGCACTGTCCCTGAGCTTTTTTGAT